CATCCAAACAACAGAGCTGAAGACAGCCAACTACCTCCAGCTCTTGTTCCACACTGGCCATGGAGACAGGAGGCTTTAGCTACAGTTCCCACAAGGAGCAAGTAGGATCAGTGCATGCCGTGACCTTTGGATGTGTCAAAGATAGATGCATGCTCAGCTGTGTTGGACACGGTTTGACTGCTGCAGGGAACATCACAGGTTCCAAGTGTTATTAATGAGGAAAACAATATGTACTGTCAAGGTTTGCTACATGAACTTAGCGTGAAAACAAAGCCCACTCCAGAGAACAAATGAAATTTACTGGATTAGTCTCTTGTTCCAGCTTTCCTGATAAATAGCACTGAACTCAACACCACATTGATTAGTTGGTTCAAGACAAACACTGATCAGATTGCCTTGGCAAGTATATATAGCACTACACAAGCACAATCACCCTTGTCTATTCAGAGTAGCAAGGATTCCCTATACTTTCATTTCCCTTCCCTCTATCTTTCCCAGCCTAGACAGCATGTCTGCACTATTTAAAAGCCCTATGCTAAAATGCTTTTCCCTCCTCCTTCTCTTGCATTTTGCTACTAGACACAGTCAAAGCCCTTGTTCTGAAGAAACAGAACCAAACTGTGCAAATGCTGCAGAGTCCCAGAAGGCCCCACATTTCAGTGCAAGCTGACCCACGTCATGGTTTTCTCCTCTACATCAGTAGGGTTTTTCCTTTATCTTATCTAGTACCTTAAATACGCATCCCCAGCATAACAGTCAGCTCTGAGTGAGAAACCGCTCTGGAGAACCACTGTGCCCTAAACAGTCTCTCACATTACAGAAAGAATGGGTGGGAACCACTGAAGATGGGGGATTCCAGTAAGAGTCAGAAAGGCTAAAAATACAGTATACACAATCATTGCTGCGTTTGTGTTCTTCACTTTGTTTCCGATCATCTCGAAAGATATCAGAGAGAAAGGATCTTACACCATTTCACTCTGCTTTTATGCTACAAACAACTTTCAGCATCTTGAAGTTTGTCTCCTTTAGACCTTGTCCTTTCTCTTTTTAAATGCACTTTTGCAAAGCTACAAATTCTGCAAGATCTTCAGAAAATTCTAATTTCAGTGATCCTCCCAAGGTCTCTTTCCCTCCTTGGATCTATCTTTCGTCTGAATTGAATTCTTTTTACCATAAGAAAAATACCCCCTCATAACTCATCCTTTACCCAATTAACTCAGCTTTGTTTTCCTTCCTTCTGGTGTATTACAATGAAATCATCAGCAAAACCAAATAGAGCAGTGTAGGATATACAGAAAAACTTATATTTTTTTTGTTTGTTTATTTTCTAAATCTGATCAATAGCTTTTCAAACATCTTTCTTGTTCTATCAGGAGATGTAACTTTTCTAACAGACACCACCACCATGTTGGTTTACCAGAACTGCCACTTCACAGAGCAGCAGGAAGTCACCTCAGCACTGTGTGCCTTCCCTTACTACCACACTGACCACATCCTCCCAACACTAGCATGTGTAAAATGTCCACGGACAAGAGCTATACTGCTATCTGTATAACATGCACCATTGAGCTTTAGACTGAATTTTATTTGTTATCCTTTTTGACAAAATATTACACCAGCAAAGTGCATCTTTCAGTCACATGCTTGACCATGTTTTCTTTTAGAAAATGATGGGGTGTTGCTTACGCATCAGTTTTTTGGTAGGCGTGTTAAAGGGCTAAAAAGTATCATTTTAGTTACGTCTTGCAGCAGATGAGTAGCAGAATACTGGTTTCTTATTTAAATGCAAGCTATGACTCATCCTGGGCACAGATAAACTGAAACACATACCCATTAAATAAAAAGCACAAACAATTTTCCAATGTGAGGATTAATGACAGATAATAACTATAAATTAACTTTAATCTCTTATAACAAACAAAGCCCCTTATATAAATGTCACTGCAATCTTTTCAGATAAAAACAACGAATGAAAGCAAGAAGAAAAGTCATTTAAATATTATCAGTTAATATTTGGTACCAAATCAAACAGCTCCTTAGCAGAACCACTGGAGTGTTCATGAAATATTTCAAGACTAAGAAAAGGAGTGGCACTTAAAACACTGCTTTAATTTTTAAAAACACAATTCCAGTTATTTTTTGACATTAAAGGAGTTCAAGATTCTTAATCCTGACACATTAAAACATCATCAGATCCGCAATACTGAGTCCAAGTTAAATCACATATTCAAAAGGGAGGAGGAGAGCATTTTGTTTTTCTACTATTCTCTTGCTCGAAAGAAATTCTGTGTAATCGTTGAATGGGTTAAACCAAAATTTAACTGAACACAAGAAGGCTGCTGTTCACAGACAAGAAGGGAAAAACCAGAGTCAGAGACCTAATAGTGGACAATTTTGAAAATTATAGTGTGTGTCAATAATGGAGATAACAGTGAGATTCAAAAGGAATAATCTCAAATAATAGGGAAAATGAGCACCTGTCAGCCACAAAGCCATTAGTATCAGGGCTTTTATATTTGCAACAGTTAATTCTGGAGACATTGACAAACTTAACAACACAGCAAATCAAACATGATGAAAATCTAACCAGGAAGTAATCCCCCTCACTCAGAAAAGACTGCTGTGGAGTTTGAAAATAAATGCTTTCAGTATGAAACTTGCTGTCCAAATCATTGGTAATGAACACTGCAAACACAGCAAAGGCACTGCAGAGTCTAGCTGGGTTTGCAGATGTGAGTAGCTGATGAAGCCATAGCATCTGCATTAAGGGACAGATAATCCCAAACCAGGAACAATGGACTCCTGAACAAAGTTCCCAGATACAGGAGTCTGCCTGTACAGACCACCCAACGTGATCAAATGTGTGCCCTTCCCAGAAGGATGAAAACCAAAGGCTTGTAAAACCAGGTCTGAGACACAGACCTGGAATACAGTGCCTCAGAATGGGAGGGCCTGGAAGAAAAGACCTTGCTAAGAAGGTTGATGGTTAGAAATCTTCAACTGGGAGCAGGTGGGGACTAGGGATCATAAATCAGACAAAAAGAGAGGAAGAAAGAGCTATTACACCAACCAAGAATGGGAGAACAAATTCTGCAGCAAGCATCTTGTCAGCATTCAGAAAAAGGTGGCATAAGGGAAAGCACAGGTAATAACACTCCTCTCACTAGTAACACTTGTAATGATGTGCTGGTCAACAGTAAATCCTCATGATATCCCCACCTCAGGTAGCATTACTGTCCTCAGTTAAAGACAGGGAAACAAGGTAAAAACTTCCTCAACTCACATGGATAGCTGGCAGCAGCCATATCCCAACCCCATGACATGACAGTCCTTAGCTGGACAGTAAGTATGGTTGCTAAGATCTCACCCACAGAGAGTCTGAAGCTTTGCTGGCTGCCCCACAGGCCTGAGGCTACAAATGGATGATCACATATCCATGCAAACTTGGCCAATGTAAAAGGACCAGGCTGGCACAGGGAAAGATGGAGACAGTTCTGCTCTAAAGCTGTTCTGAGTGTAAGCAGCATTTGCAATAACAATTAGATATGCAAATAAGCACATTGAAGATTAGTGACGGTTTACTGTTGTCATGGAGAAAAAAGCACCTTCAATTCTGGGTCAGACCCAAAGACTGCATTTTCTTTCCCTCAGTGGTAAATATAACCAGATAGTGCACTGGATAACACAGGAGCCAACACTCCTCAACACAGCTCAACCTGGGACTGGAGAGGCTGAGACTCATAGGAGCAACAGGGAGCAACATAACCCAAACAAAAAGCCTCCCTGCATCAACCCAGAAAGACAGGACCATGGCAACTCTGTAGATACTCAAAACTACCAGGAGGTAGAAGCACAGGCTGGAAGAAAACACTCACACCACGCAAAGGCCAAGCTGCTTCCCAACATTGCTGCTGCCAGGGGAGGCAGATGTGGGGGAAACTGAGGGCAACACAATTCATAAGGTATTCAGCTCCAATTCCCTTGAAGCCACATGGGAAGATCTTGTCTGAATGAAATTACACACTTGGCTCAAAGCCTCTGTGTGTCTTTGGCCATCCTCATAGTCCTCCCATCCCTTGTTAAATGATGGCTGCTAAGAGAGAAGAGGAGGCAATCAGTCTATTTAGACTCAGCTTTCCTTCCCACCCTGGGGGTTTCTTCATAGGAGCAGCTGGCCAGAGCACTGCCTTTGTTACAGCAGCCACAAAAAACACAGACACCCACCCTCAGCCCCCCTAAAATCCCACAGAAGAGCCAAGATAAGTTTATAATGGAAACCCTGACATAACTTTAACTAGAGCATCCTGAATGGAAGGCGATAATCTGATCTGTGTGTGAACTAGCTCCCCTTGCCTCAATGGTATTTATCTTACTTTAACTCCTGTTACAAAAGGGTTGAGTCATATAGCAGAGCCAGCCAAGTAACAAAACTGCAGGGCTTGCTAAAACGTCAGATTCAAGGATAAACAGGCACAACTCTAAAACAGGTTAGAAGAGTCTCTGCAGGAGCACTGGTAGCCAGACCTCGGAGCCTCCGGACAATGGCATTTTCTTCTGCGTTGCAGAGACTATCACAGCCCAGTGAGGGTGTGGGGGGAGAGGGTGCAGAGCACAGGGCTCTGCCCTTTGGTTGATGGTAACACATATTACCCAGGGCCCAAGAAACCTGATCCCGTAGCAACCTCATGTATGGAAAGTGCCCCAATCAGATTTCACTGTGTCAGGAGAAGAACAGTATTTACTCTGCATACAGATTAGTCACAAAACTGGGTCACTTCTTGCCTTTTCAGAGAGAGGAAAAAAAAACAAACCCACAACCAAAACCAAAGCTTCTTTTTCAGATCTTTTTGTGTCTTCCCCTCAACTTTTAAAACTATGTGATGCAGTGTGGTCATTCACAGCTGCCAAAGCTGATCAAACGGCACCTGCATGGATAAGGGTAAAGCACATTACACTCACCAGGCTTGCATTTCTTAGAATTCGGCTCATTAGCTACTTACCGGTTCTTTTCTAGTTCGTTGTGCGTAGACCTGGAAGATAAACAAAAATTTGGATTAGCCACCTTTGACCTCTGAGCACCAAAGTTCAACTGCAGCAAGCTGTACACATCTCCAGTGGCACACTGCAGCAGAAAGTCAGCCAACTACATACATTAAAATCTACAGCTCATCCTCCCTGCTGACAAGAAATTCCTCGCCTCCAGTGCAAAAGCTGGTACTCTTACTGGTGCTACAGAAAATGTTCCCTTGAGACTTCAACACACAAAAAATCCCAAAGAGAGGCAACGATTAGAACAGAAGGTCAGAGTCTGCCACTTCTAGAATCCTTCTGGCTCTTCAACCAACTCACTACAGGACTGTAGTTACGTCTCTTTCTGCTTTAGTTTCTCCATTCACCCTGTAAAAATACCGGTATCATCTGCTAACACAGGAGCTCACAGCCCATCAAATACACGGGAACCTTCCAGCAGAACTGGCTCTGTAAGGACAGCCCCTTGAACCCTTCAGCCATCACATGCCAGATTTAGCCAACTTAGCAGACCCAGATATGGCCAGGAATTGGGCACGAAATGGGATGGCCAGCACTGGCCATGTTTGCAAACATCAGCAGCACTGAGCAGCACTTTTAGGATGACTGGAAACCCCTCAGGGATGGAAACAGCACTGCCACAGCCCTAGTATGTAGTGAAGTGACCCATAAAGTGGCACTGTGACCACTTGACAAAGGAGGGGGCTTTGTCTTTATACCTGCCCACCAAGCCAAGCACGCTGCCAGTACTCCCTGATTCAGAGCTTGCAGCCTGAAAACAAAACCAACTAGAAACAAAAGGGAAACAGGCAAGTTCATTCTCCTTGCTCTGTGATGACAGCATGAGTGGCAAAAAAAGCTTAAATCCATTCAGGATTTCTAATCTAAGCCAGGTAAGGTTGTTGAGGATTATTGAAAAGGATAGCCATTTATCCAACATTTCTCTTTAACAGAAGGTCACCTTAAAATAAGAGTAAAAAGAGCCCAAGAGCTTAATAAAAAGGATCTATTTTCTCTAATTTGGCATCACATTTCTTCCGGAGCTCTGAGAAGATTATCCTCTATCCCCCATCTGGAGAATCCCACAGAGAATTCTACAATTAGGGAACTGAATGGAGGATGTGCTCCAAGGGAAACCCTGTCATAATTAAATGCTTCTCCAAAAAAAGGAAGGAGGAGTGCCTAACAGGTGTTAGAACCTCATTGAAAATGACGAATAAACTGTAGATGTCTGCAAAAAACAAGGTAAATGAGTTTTAGCTGACCATGGCTGAGAGCTGCGGGTGACCAGAGGAAAAACAAAACGCTACCGTGTGTCTGTGCAAGCTACCCTGAGCAGCAGGATATGGGACACCCCAAAGGCAAGGCACACTACAGGCAAACTCTTCATGTTCAGGAAACTCCCCAAAACAGTGGATGCCTTAATTCTGGTTCCCAGGAATCAGAAACATGAACACAGTGTTTAGTCCAGAAAATCTCCCAAATTAAAGCCACACCGCCCCCAGAGTCTAAACCAGCAAAATCCATTTATCCAGGCAACTTGGATCCAAATTAACCCACCAGGGCTGAGCTGAGGCCCTTTAAAGCCACTGCCTGTATGTACTTTGGAACATGCTTATTGTTCTTATTTACTGTATGTTCCTGCAGGAGACTTTGCACTCTTCCTAGCTATGATATTAGCAGTTCTAAGGCCAGAGATATGCAATGGCTTGAATTCCTATATTATATCGAGCCAATTATCAAGGCCAGCACTGAAAGAACAAAGTTTGGCCCACTGCTGTGAACAAAATTAAAACAGCAGGTTCTCCTTACTCCTCTCACACAGGAGACTCTTTATTACCTATCTGCCTTCTGATGAACAAGACAACTGAGAGAGGTCACAGGCTTTTCACCAAGTCAGGAAATGTATGCTGGGACTTTTAACCATGTCTGTGGCATGGAAAAAAAACAAACCTCACTCCCCCCCCAACACCTTCACACCGAAGCTGAATGCAAACAAAAGAATCTCAGCAATGTTGAATGAATCCTACAGGGATTCTCTTACCTGCCTATGCTTTGCTTAGTGTAACTGGGGACCATTTGGAAAAGTTGTAATTTTTTGTTTCATCTGGATTTAGGAAAAAAGCCCAGCACCACTTCCCACTACCAACATTCACTAATTTATATTTTTTGTGAGTTTCCCTTTGCTCGGACAACACATAAAGAAAAAAACCCCTCTCTCTTCTGTTCATAATTCATTTCATTTTCTATAGGTCCCAATCTAAAGACTAGTTTTCTCCCCTTGTCTTTGGGCTGTACATGTTACTAAGATTTATTTGGAATTAAACAAGGACAGTGCTGTCAGTGAAATGGAAAAAAAGTACAGGAACCTCTACTGATACTACATTTAGAAAAAAAAAAAAAGTCTTTTAAATAGGTGCAGAAACAAATGTAACTGGACCTCTTTAACTGAGCTGGTCTTATCATCAACTGAGAACCTGGAGAGTATCACCAGACTGAAATCAAAGCCTCATCCCTGTACGCCATCGCCAGCTTCTTGATGGGTACATGATGAACACCACAGCTGTGAACTGTTGCCAAAGCTCAGGGAACATTTCAGTGCTACTTTTAACGCTCTGGGTTTACAGCAGCGAGAAACCTGTGCGTTCAGTGTGATGCTGCTGTTGACAGTCAGCCACAGCCTGTGTCACCCAGTGACATGAGACACCACTGTCGAGCATGGACCACAAACCAGAGGAACTCACAGCCCCTCTGTCAGGCAGACACGGCAAGCAGGACCTTGCCCCCACCTGCAAAGTTGAAAGCAGAGTCATGCAGGCACAGACATGTTCAGAGGGGGAAACAAAAGCCCAAGCACATGTACTGGCACTGCTAAAACGTCAGCTGCAATTTAAAAGTAGCTCAAGCACAAAACGTCTGTGGGGTTCTCATTTAGAACTCAGGTTTCTATAGCAGTCAATAAATTTAAAACAGCCAAACCGATAACTGCTCATAAAAACTGAAGGAATGTTGTATAAGGAGAAGGATCCTGTTCACTGCATTTTGAAAACAGCTTGGGAAAAGATCAAGAAAAAGTTTTAGAAGCTTAAGATAAAGGAGCCAGGTAAACAACAACAAAAACAGCAAATCAGTCCCCCCTTTTTTTTTTTTAAACAACAAAAAGTTAAAAAGGGACAAACACAAGTTTACTCCAATTTACCTCAGATACCTGAAACAGCATACAAAATAGGAAGAAAGTGGGAAGCAGCAATTGTCAATCATTCTAATTTAAGGTCAGATGCAGCAACTTTTCTGCATCAGTTACAGTGATTCTGCCTGCAACCTTGCTATCCAACACAGTAACAAGGTGTTGCTGAAACATTAACCTACAGTGAAGTCCCCCAGCGAATGAGACATTGCGAGTAATTTCCCACTTTATCTCATTTTCTTTATTTAAGTAAAATCTCTCCTACCATGGCAGGGGAGGCCAAACTTTCCCCAAGCACAGGTAAGCCAACAAAACAAACTGCATCAGGGAGGAACAAGCTCTAAAGAGCACTGAATTAATTTGCCACTGAGGTTTTTACTGTAATTAAAATCACAAAGCTGCCACATGACATTAAACATAGCTGACCTTTCTGGTTTACTTATTTATTATTGATAAATATCCCAATGTATGCATTTGCAGAATACCTGCATTTTGGTTTGTCTTCTCAGTGAGGTAACTACACAGCAATCGAGAGCCCTTGTCCTATGTGGTACACAGATGGCATTTAGATCCAATGATCCTGTCATCCCTCTTGAACCTGGTCACCTTCTGGCCTGGATCTGGCACCAGCTCCTGGCTCCAGAGGAGTCCAGGACTCCAAGACCTACATCTCCATTACAACAGATATACTGGTATCTCAGCAGGTGCTGCTGGCCACAAGGGGCCTCTTCCAATACATGTCCTTAATGCCAACACAGTGCCAGTGCTTCTCCTCCAAATTCACTCATCCTACTCTGCTTTATATCAAGAATTTAATCAGGAAAGCAATATTCCACCAGCTTGTGTAAATTAAGGCACAGTTACCCAAATCATGTTTAGAAAAACAACAAGAACATCCATCTGCAGACCAGGCTTTCTGTCTTACTTCACTCAGGTTCAGCTACTTCTCCTGCTTGTGCATCATCACACCACATACAACTTCATTCTTCTTCATTTTACAGACCTTTCCCGCCTCATGGCTCTGCTGACACCCATTCACTGGGCCACTAAATTCCCCTGCAGGAAATGCCTTCTTCCGTTGCCCAAGGCAAGAACAACCAAACCTTCTGGAACCAGTGAACCGTATTACTGCTCTCTTTTATGCAAGTTCTTCCTCAGAAATGGCTCCTTTTGGAAACAGCCAAATGACAAAACAAAACAAATGAAAAAGAAGGGTGATCAACAGCTTTTTTAAATTTTAAATCCACTTGTGTCCACAAAACAGAACTTACTGGCTTGAAGAACCCGTGTTTTGCCATGGTTTCAAGTGGACCAACACCATAAAGAGACTGTGAAAAAAATGCAGAAGTCAGCCTGGGAAGTCCACAAAGAAGCTCCACCAGCATCATGTGAGGCTTCCAGCCTAATGGCAAGAAAACAATGGCTGCACAAGAGTTAAATCCTCCTGCCCAGATAGAGATGCTCAAGGGTTGAGTTTCTAAGGGAACTGTGAACCCACCTCACCTTTGAAAGGTCCAGGAGTCTGGCCCTCAGAGAGCTGCAGGGAAGCCTTGGGAACACAGCAACTTACAGTACTCAATCCTGCCATGAGGAGCAGGATGCAGCTGAACAGAAGATGGCACAGCCGGAGCAGGAGTCCTTCTGCTGCCTTCCTTACGCCCTTTGCGAGCAGCAGCCTCAAGTCTAACAGGAACATCACCTCAGCCTTTCATACCATCAAATCTAACAAAACATTTCCTTCCAAGCAATACCAGAGACAAAAGTTATCTTAAGCCATTACTATCTCATGATCCCCTACACTGTCTGACCTTGAGG